GGATTGTTACTACGTCTGATGTGTGTCACCAAAGCACAGCTCGTCAAGGAAAGAAGAGATTCAAACAGAGCCTGAATACAGAGAGAAGTGTGCTCTAATCACAGCCTTGTGCTCCTTCCGAAGCTCTGTGCCATCTATTCTCCTTGGTATTTCTTGTAGTTAAAGGCACTAATGATACTCCTAAATCTTACCCTTGCAGTGTCCAAAGACAATGTTTGCAAAGTATTTTGATGGCTGAGAATAACACCAGCTAAACAACATTTTTGCCACTGGAGCATGTGCACTCAGATGCTTTGATAATAGAAGAGGTGGGCAGCTCTCTGTACTAGACAAACAGCCTTGTGAAGAAAAGTTTATCTGAAAATTTAAGAGTTTTACCAGAGCTTTACAAATTCAAATTCACAGAAAGCTAGAGAATAAATTGCTGCATAGAAAATGAATAACTGAAGTGCTGAAATAAAACGTTTCTAATGAACAGAAATGCTATGCAAGGATGGTTTGGTGTGCCAAGAATTTCTTGTATGAGTTACTGAAGGAGTAATGTAAATAAAGACAATTTGGGCTGTAACAAGGAAAGAAAGCAAGCAAGAGATTAGATCCAACAAATATCAAATGTCAGAAATGTATTTAAAAGCCACAATAATTGCAATATCATCTTGCAGGATGTCATATATCCATCTAGGCTGATGAACAACTAATTAATATTGTAATGCTAGAAGCTAAAACAATCCCAGACAGTGACATGGGTGAGGTATCTTTACATCTGGAAGAGAAATATGTGGTGAAATTAAAAGTTTTTCAGATCAGGCAGACATCCATTATGCTCAGTGAAGTGCTCTTATATTATGCTTCCTTGAAATTAATTTTTGGCTTGATTTATTTTTAAAATAATTTTATTTAGGAGGAGTAAATTTTCATAAAAACCCCATTCCATTTTGAGTATCCTGAACCAGCTCAGTCTGTGACTGAGAATATTTTTACTGTAAGAGAGTCCCTTTTTGAGGAAGTTAACACAGGATTTCCAGTGACCCAGTTCTGAGAGGAGCATGATTTTTATACAACCTTAATCCATCCATTTAAGCGATGTGGTGTCTACTTTTAATGGAAATTTAGTTCTGCAGCAGACTTAAAACTTCCAGAGAAGAGAAAAATTTCCTTAAACGTAGACACACAGAAGTGAAGTGTTTAGATTTGAAAAGACCCTGGAGTCCAAGCATTAACCCAGTGTTGCCAAGTCCTCCACTAGACCATGTCCCTAAGCACCACATCTTTTAAACACCTCCAGGGATGCTGATTCCACCACTTCTGTGGGCAGCCTGTTCCAGGCCTTGACAACGCTTTTCATTAAGATTTTTTTCCTGATATCCAATCTAAGCCTCCCTTGGCACAACTTGAGGATGCTTCCTCTTGTCCTGGCACCTGTTACTTGTGAGAAAAGACCAACCACCCCTGGCTGCACCCCCCTTTCAGGGAGTTGTAGAGGGTGATAAGGCTCCCCCTTGAGCCTCCTTTTCTTCAGGATAAACAAGCCCAGCTCTCTCAGCTGCTCCTCAAACCCTCTGTACTTTAAACCCTTCTCCAGCTCTGTTATTCCTCTTTGGATGCATGTAATGCAAAGATTTATAAATTATGATGGTGGGTTTTTTGGTTTTTTTTTCATTTTCTTTATGTTCAATAGTCTTTCCAGGGTGCAGTGCTTTACATCTGAAAGTAAAATGTTTAAAACAGATGAGAGGATTTTAATTTTGTCTTTTTCACTTTATTGGCTTCAAAGAGAGTGTGGGATGACCTGCCTGGATAGGTTTCTAAATTACATATGAAAATCTTGTCTCAACAGCACCAATTGACATAACTTCATAAAAAAAATTGGATTTACAGAAAATATATGGTTGCTGAACTACTATCTTTTGTATGAATATCTGGCTAGACTGAAAATTTGCTGTGATAAATCCAGTGTGCTTTAAAGTGGATCGACAATACCACTTGGCAAATCTCCCCTACTAAGCTAGGATTTTTTTTTTTCTACTGAGGAAATGGGGGTAAGGGAGTTCTTTTATTCTTAAACATGTTGTCCAGAGTCCACCTGGCTGAGAAGATGCTAGGTAGCTCATAGTTTTTACAGGTCTCCACTCTGAAACCTCCTGCAGGAGTCAAATACCTGAGGTTCTACTTTTGGGTCAGTTCAGAGCTGTGAGCAGAGCCTACAGCCCTGTGCTGAGCAGCAGCTCCTCACCACAGTCAGGAGCCACCATAAATGAAGTTTTTTAGGGGTCCTGTAACTGTCCCAGATCTCTAGAGCTGCTGTAACTGACTGCAATTTCCACAGTCCTGGGAAGGATCTGTTCCCTTACAGTGCATCTCTTTTGAAGGTGTGTGCTAAACTTCAATAGAGAGTGTATGCTATTTAGTGAATGTCTCAAGTGAGAATTTTGGAAACTGGATATAAACCTTTCCTGATCTGTGCACAGTACACAAAGGACTGTGCCAAATCTGAAATTACCATGACTAAACAGCTCTGTGTTAATCATCTTGCAAATTTAATTTTAATATGAGAACAAGAGAACTTAAACTCTTCTTTCAGGTCTCTGAGGGGTTCTTTTTTGAACTTTTTGTTCTCTATTCCTCCTTTCCCCTGTTCTGAAGAGTGAAAAAAGGACCAGAACAGTAGATTTCATTTGGCTATCGATCCAATGTGCTAATGCTTCTACCGCTGCCATTAGAACTCCTGTAGTTGGAAAATAAAGAAAAAGATATATTCTTCTTAAATTTCTCCAGCTGGTCTGCTGGGTTTTCTGATTGCACATTTTTTCTGAGTGATAAAGACTACTTTTATTTGCACAATATTAAAACAAACAAACAAAACCCCCACCCCGAAAGGCAAACCCACCAGAACCACTTTTGGTAGCCATAGGTGTATAAAAGCAGTGGCTTGCTGTGCCACCCCCATACAGCCCTGGTGTAAAACAAAAGTGAATAAATATTGGTTTATCCTTACAAGAATTTTGTAATTTGTGTTTCCAGCACATAGCAGCAGGAACAATGCAAGGCTAAATGATTTAACAGCTAATAAAATAGTGACTGTCCAAACCACTTGTACAAATAAAAGGTTTGATCAAGTTCTCACTGGGTTTTCTTAGACATACATCCAAAAATGCAATAAGAATTCTGAAGGGAACACATAGTGCTTAAAATACCAATGCAAATTCAAAGATTCTGTTCTGCACCTGTGCTAAAATTCATGCTTGAGGCAATGCCATGAGAGAAACATAAGCTACTGGCATGCATCAAAATGAAAACTTTAGGCTTCTATTTATGCACATTGATGCACGGTACTAATGCGTTATGTGCATCTAAAAACAAAAACTATTTTCTCTTTTTGAATGTGTGAGGCCAGGAGGAGCAAAGAAAGCCCTGCCACAGGGAAGAGAGTTAGTTGTCTTGTGGTTTTGTGGGGTTAGAAAAGATGGGGCTGGATCTGGGTCTGGCCCCTGTGCTTGGGGTACCAACCCAGCAACCCCTTGTCCTTGTTCCACCCCTCAGCATGACATCCCAAACCCCCTGCTGACATGATTTTGGCATTCTGAAACACAGAACAATAATGCCTTGGAATAGCACAGGGAAGGGCAAGCTTATTCCCTGTATGATCTCCTTTATCTGTGCCTTTTTTTATTTTTTAATTTTTTTTTCGCCCTCTATTCTTTTTCCTGGGCTGTTAGGGAATTGGGAATTGTGGTTAAAGCTGCTGCTTCAGGCTGATGCTTCAAATCCAGCCCAAGCTAACAATGGCTGTTTCAGTGTATGTAAAATTAACTTTGCCCTGGTTTCAGTGGATCCTGGGCTGCACCTCTTAAAATAATTGATAGTGCTGCCAGAAGTCTCAGCAGACAAGCGAAAGACTGAAGTTGTGGTGTCCCCAGAGATCTCACTGGAGATCTGAGCTGAATCATATGCAAGGGGGAATGGGAGATAGTTGTGGAGCTCAGATGCTTTGGTCTACATACCTGTTTTGGAGGGAAACAAAAAAAGCAGCTCACACAGATACATTCCCAGGTATATTCACCAGGTACATGTCCTGTACACAAACACTCCTAAGAAAATTCCTAAAAGCTTGTAAAACAGTATAGCTTGCTGTTCAGATATGAACTGGCTGTGTAACGCCTCACTGGAGGTCTGATGAGAATGCTACAACTGTATTTTACTGATTACTTCTGGCTTTATAGAAAAGCTAACACTTCCTTTAGTTTTAGGCCATAATGCTATGTTCAGCTCTGCAGGCCATGGTTTCTGCCCCATCACTCCAGCCACTCTGCTAAAATCTTTTGTTAATGTAATTTTACATTTCTCAGAGGATAAGAAAGGGTGGAAGAAAGCAGCAAAAAGATGTAGGGTCTAAAAAAATATGAAAATAACACTGAACCAAAGCAGCACCACCTCAATGCCCCTTCCTTAATGGTTTAGTTATTAACCATTTATCTGAGGGCTAGACACACAGATGGCACAAATTCCCCACCAATGCACGGTACAGGATAAAGGTCATGTTAAAATAATGTATTATCATAAATTAACACATAAGTTTCCCACAAAGTTCACTCAGTTTGTATGAAATTGATGTATTAATTTATTAATATTTAATGCTTCTACTCTGTGAGCTCCAGTAAGAATTTGCTGTAGGCAGTTTATCTTTTATTTTCAGGCACATATAATTGTGGTCAACAGCAGGAACATAAAAATGTTTGCAGGTAAATTTTACTCAAATAAAAATCTCAGCAACTTCAAATTGTTTGAGGATATGAGGAATATATTTTAAATGTTATCTAAAGAGCAGTTAAACATATTTCAAACTGTCCCATCTGGCACAGCTGTAAATAACAATCTGTTTCAAACAGTCCTCTGTTGACTGTGTCAGCAAATGTTAGGATTATTTGCTATTAACTGACAATTTCATCTTTGAGCGTAAAGTTCTGCAGCACTGACACTAGTGCATATATCATTTCTTGCAGATCAGTATAATGCTGAAAGAATCTTTGTGCAAACATACTTAAAGCTCTTCATCTTTATGTCTGAAGATGTTGATATGGATGGAGTTAGAGAGATTTATCATCATCTTTGCTTTGATCGCCTATCCTCCAAAAAAAAGCAGTAAGCTGAAAAATTCATGCATCTGGAGAAGTAGGGAAGACGTTTTCATCTGCCACTGAAAGCAATCACTTAGGCATGAGGGGCTGCCTGACTTCTGGATGTGAGTGGGTACAACACAAATGTCTCACAGATATTATGTGTGGCACAGTGGTCTTTCATCAGAGCAGAATTTATGGGTCTTTCATAGCTACTAGATGAATGGTGTGTAATGTGATTCCATAAATTACTGTGAAAAGCAGATAGCAGCACAATAAAAGTAAATACTGACAGCAGGAACCAGTGTATGTTACCCTGTATGAACAAAGGAAAAAAATGGAGAGATCACCTCACTCCTGCTCATAAGGGCTTTAATACTGACCTCACACTAGCAGGGATTTCTGACCTTTGTTCCAAATGAAAATCAACATCTGGCCCACTGGGTTGAATATGAGACAAATACTATGTGGTAAAGTGTGTTTTATGAAATGTTTTTCATTTTTTAAGTAGCAGTTATCAGTTTGTTGCTTCTAGTTTAAAATAACTGCTTATTATATCAGATAAAGAACACTCTACCTGTGCTCAGGCCATGCTGCTACTTCTGCACAATGCATATAAAACTTTCCTACTTTCTAAGGCCAAAAGTGGACGAAAACAAAAGTGAGATGTTTAAGCACTAAAATTTACACTGTTTCTTAAAGAAGAAAACTAAACTAATTGTCTCTTTCCAAGTCCTGAAAACTTATTTGTCCTAGATTTTTTTTTCCATGGGGTTGGGTAAAGAGAAGGTGCTACAAGTGTTCAGTAAAAGGCAGAGTAAAGTGAATGTGAAAGCAGCACTCAGACCCCAGGTATTTCAAAAGCTGCTCTGAGAAGAGAGTTTATCTAACATCTCCCACTTTGATGTAAAATTACCGCCTACTCGGTATGTTATTTGTGTATTCAAAGGCACAGTTACTTGCTTGCCTTTCAAACTGATGTTTTAACTATTTTCTTTGGTGTGCAAGCCCAGCACAGGAGATGTGCTGAGAGTCAACCAGGTTCAGCATTTTCTTGTATGTCACTGGCATTGTTTGTTGAGATCTGGTCTGTGCTGTCTGTGCAAAAAATACTGGCAGGAAACAGTGCTCAAGTGTCAGTGAAACAACTGGGCCAGAGGATTCCTCATTAAAGCTAATTATGCATGAGAAGGACTTTGCTTGATTGTCAGCTTGAGTTGGTAGCACTGACAGATTGGGGAAACCAAACCAAATTTAACTTGCAGATAACGTATACTTTACATGGAAATAACTGACAGACAACAACTTATAAAGTCCTTGCCTGCTGCTTTTATGACCACTTTGCAGACAGAACTATCATTTAAATGGAAGCAGAAAGCACTGCCACACTCTCCTGAAGATTTCATTGTGATCGAGTTAAATCTGTTTAGAATGGAATAGTTGAGTACAGAACACTTCTAAATGCATCATGAAAAATGTTTTGATAAACAGCCCATCCCTTCTGTGAATATTTAGTGTCTGTGAGGTAGCCAGTTTTAAGACAGACTGGGTTTTTTTGTTGTTGTTTGCTTTATTTTAAAGCAGATGAATCTAAGAATTTTCTTCCTAAAGTTAAATCTTTTGAAACAATTGCATAAGCAGGAGGAACTTCATATGAGGACTGCAAAACCTAACAAAAACCCCCTTGCTCAAAACCCAGTTCCTGAACCCTCCTCCATGTGGGATATAAGGGTAACAATGTCCCAGCATCCCTCCAGACCCCTCCATGCTTCAGGGTTAGAAGGAGAGCAGATTCTCTGGACCTTCCCACAGCCCCCAGTTCTCTTGTTTCACTCTATGGTTTGTAGCAGCGTTTCAAATACATCAAACTGGTGCTCTGAGGATGAGAAAAGAGATGCTAGCAAATTTCATTTCCAGCTCTGAAAAAAATTCTGTGATCCAATTGAATTCCATAACAGCATATCAATTGTTATAAAGGCAAAAAAACCCAACAAAACACATTAAGAAGATTCAATAGAAAATGGAATTGGTTTTAGGGATAAATAAATGCAAGTTAGCTATGAAATGTCTTTGTTCAGTGGGTTTGAAGAACAATTGAAGTGCATACTTATTCAACAGATTTTTTTTTTAAAGCTTTCAGAAATGACAAACATTAGAGTTGACTGAAAGGCAAAATTACAGAATTGAAATTTATGGTGTATATATATATATTTATATATATTTGTGATTATTACTTAATAAGATGTATTCAGAAGTAGTAAAGATGTAATATACACTGAAAATAGTAGACATGGAAGAAAATTGCATCAAGAAAATTAGTTAAATTGGATTTCAAGCCATCCATTCCACAGTGGAAATGAACTTAGAAGAGGAAGATATGGCTTGGCATGCAAAATAATTATTTTTAATGTGTATCTGCATTAAAAGGTTGTGTCAACATGCAGGCACAACTCCAGTGACCTTTCCCAGTAGGGCATGGGGAATTTCATCATCAGACTGCTGCAGGCTAATTGGCACTGCTCTCATTTTCCAAAAATAGATTAGTAAACTTTATTCTGTGTTTGCAGAACCCGTTTTCTCTTGGACTATTGAAAAAATTTTTAATAAGAAACCTTAAAGTGCATTTATGAAATGAGTCAGATATTTTAACTGGTGTGTTGAAGCAATTAAAAAGGGACTTATCAAAGTGATGTGTCAGTGGCAGAGAGAGCTGGCTGAAGAGTTCACAAACAAAACATACTCAAGTTTGGTTAAGCCCTTGGAGGGAATATTCCATTTACTTGAAACTTGAAAAGCATAACAGTAATTTTCTGAAGATACCTATGCCTCCAATTCTATTCTCCTATTTCAACACAGTCAATAATTTGGTTTAGGTTAGACAAACTGCATAAACTCTGTTAAGTTAAAAAGTAATTGACTGAGGGAAAATGGTTGGTTGCTTTTCCCTAAGTGAGTCTCTCATCTGGGCAGCATGTGTACAGTCAATTCCATGAGCAGAGGGTGAGCCATGTAGGGATTTCAACCCCTGTGACAGCAGGCAGGTTTTGACTTTTCCATTTCCTCCCTTCTCCCCAGGAACTACTGGCAGGACTCAGTCTGTGCCTTGCCAACACCTTCAACCTAAACCTTTGCCTTCTGAGAGAACAGAAAGAACAGACCTGTTTGTTTCTGGTCTAGGAATGGTCTCTTCTCCTACCTCAGGCAAGTTCATCTCTAATTACCCAAAACTATCAATCTCCATTTCTAAATACTTCTATGTCAATTACCCTCAGCAAACTGTTCTCCAAACCCAACCTCATTGTACTGAAGGCTGGATATGTTCTTCTAACTTCATGTTGTGTTTGCTCTCATGGCAATATTACCCTTCAGCTAAAATATTATTTTCCCTTTTCTGTTTTTTGCTTCAACTGTAAGTTTTTTGACATATTCCTTCTCTGCCAAAGCTCTTACTTTGGCAAACTCAGTCATTCATCAACCTCTTTGCAGTTGTATGGTCACTTAAGAATGGATTGACACAACAGAACTGCTGCTATTTTGCATCCTCTTCTTTCAGAATTCTGCTGTGGTGATTGTTTGGTCCAAAAGACTAAATAAGCTCCTTAACAATTTTCCTAACCTGATTCCCCTTAGCCATTCTGTCTCTTGTTCTATGTTCCACATCATCTCCTCTGACTGAAACGAGGCACAGATTATCTACCCAGTTTTTGGACTGTACCCAGATTATCTTTAATCTCTGTCCTCCCTGCATAGTAACTCCATCCTCCTCCCAGTTTACTTTAATATCCTTTGCCAAGTCTAATTTTCACCTTAAGTCTGCATTTGTTAATTTCTAACACACAGCTTAATTTGATGCTCAGAACTTTTCTTGTTGGTTCTTCATACCTAACATCTGTTTTCGTTGCCACTGTTCATCCTACTGGGCAAGCCTATTTACACATTTAAAAGAGCAATCAGAGATTCAAACAATGCAAAAGCACATTTCCTAAATGTGATACTGCACTGTGCTTCACAGCTTCCAGGTCAGGTTATTCTAGCAGCTTGTTTTTGTTGTCCTAAAGAAAACTCTCATTAGACAGATGCAACATTCCCTTGCTTACTTAGCATTGCTTAGTATGTACCATTTTCTATGTGCCTTTCAAGCTATATTCTGGGTGAAATACCCATTTGTGTTCTATAAAGATTTATGTGGCCTTATGTAGCTTCTATATTCACTCCTAAATGATGATGAAATGAAATTTTTCTATTTACTCCATGGATGACATTTATGGACTGAGCAAAAATGAATGTGAACTACTCCGGTAATTCAGAAGAAAAACACAACAGTAGTGTTGGTTTCCTCATGGTAGACATAATTTTTGATAAGGTGGTGTAAAATGAACACTAACCAGAATTTCAGCAATAAATAAACTTTTACAACAAGGACAGTAAATTAAACTTAGTTGTATTTATGCTAACACAGAAGTTTTCAACTCAGTTCTGTACATGTGTTTTGATAATTTCATTCCTCATATTCTCCACCCGCTCCCACACATCTAATAACTCCTTATTTAATGTTGCCTTTTGTTGTCTCCCATCGTGTTTCTCTTTCATTTCCTTGACTTGCCTCTTTTTACCTACTGCAGTTTTGTTTCCAGCTCCTACTTTCAGAGTAATTTCTTGCTTTGGCTGACCGCCTTCATAAAACTAAGCAGGTTTTGCCTTGAATATTTGGTGACAGGCAGCGTGGAGCACTGTAAGGTCTGCTGCCACCTCGGTGTGAGGGGAGGGGAAGCGGTCCTTTGCAGCATCTGTTGCCTAGCAATGTTCCTCAGGTGCTGTTAGCTGTGCTGCATTGTGATCAAAGCTGGAAAGGCTGAGCATAAGGGAAAGCGAAAATGGGCTTGGAAAAAACACAACAACATTCATGATTTTTTCGTGGCAGTGGAGTGCAAAAGGCTTAGCTCTGCTTCCCAAGTGTGCAGCAATCCTTGGAAGAGAGAAAACAGCGTCAGCATCCAGCAGCTCTCTGCTGGACCACGGCTCTGTCCGTTCAAGAGTCAAACTGATGCAGCTCAGCCTGGATTTCTGTTTTTTTCATATCGCCTGAGACATTTTCACTCACCATCAGGTGGCATTACAACCAGAGCCCAGGAAGGCAGCATGTTTCCTATGGGATGCTTTGGTGGGATGGAGCACCCTGAGAAGCTCTACTTTTCATCCAGGCATTGTCCAAAGATCCAGGCATGGTTTTGCATGTACCAGACCATCACTGTGACCCATCTGAGCTATTTCATGACATGCCAGCTCATTCACTCCAGCCCCTCACTAAAGGTGGGAAAGTTCCCAGTACCTTAACACTGACCATGTTGTTTTAAGGCTTAAAAAACACACAGAATAAATCTTGTGTAAGAAGGATTTGTTAATATAGATGATGCACAAGTTACTGACACTGATGCCTGGAGAGGCTACCTGGAGCAGAGGCTGGACAGAGTTAAAGGAATAAAGTAGGTATTTATTAAAAGGCCTTCAAAGGATACACCCTGGGCAGTAGAGGAGCCAGGCCAAGGCTCCACCCAAGGTGGACACCCGGTCACGAGTGTTCACACTTTTATAAGTTTTGTTCCATTTACATATTGGGTTAATTGTCCAATTACAGCTTCAGGTAATGAAGTCCCATCCTCACAGATTGCCCTCCTCAATTTGCTGTTTGTACTTTTTGGGCCTGAAGCTGCAATGGTTCTGGGGCTAGAAAAGGATTGTTTTGTCTGACCAAACTGTGAGGAGAACTTGCTAACACTTTATATGAAGTTCAGAGTCACACAATAAATAGAGTACAAGTACAGTACAAAATTTGGAAAATATGAAAGCTAAAACTTAAGGCATCAACATGTCAGGCTAGGTTTTATTTGTGAGATGATAGTAATAACAACACTGCACAAACTTAGATGGAGTGGTTAGTAGCATTCATAATGTTAGGGGGAAGAGGAGATTAATCATCCTTGCAAAACCAATCCTCTCAGTGACATGATCAGGATATCTAGAATTATCTAGATTAAGACAGTATCACCCCAGCCTAACAGCATTTTCCAAAATTGTGTTTGTAGTTTGGGTGTTTGGTTATTTCGGTGTGACAGAGAATTAATTTAGGCATTCATACAAGTGTTTTGTCTATGAAGTGACCCCTGAACAGAAACATGAGCATGTACTCTGTTGTTAAAAAATTGCATTCTCTTTGTGGTAGATAAAATTCCAGGGATAAAGATAAGTATACCATCCTAAAGACAAAACTTCTCAGAAATCCAGAAAGGTTAGAGTACAGTAGCTAAAAAAAGATCTCTTGGTAATTTCTTGTCTTTAAGGCTCACAAAATAAAGGATTTCATCACCCTGTCTTGCAAAAGTGTGAGAGGGAAACATGGTAGAAAGATGATTTTGAATTGCACTTGAAATGTTCAGCACTGCTAGAGTTAAGAAGATCCTAACTAACCAGCTGCCAAGCAAGACTCTTCAGTGTTTTTGGAACTTCACAATGACATTTCATATACCATGCTTTTGGCATGTGAACAAAATCCATACCCTGCTGCTTCTCCCTTTCCTGATACTTCCTCAATTAGAAAGATCTTAGTTATTTGTCACGGTTTTATGTATTATATTTCAGAAAAAGAAAATGAGACTTTCAGGGAAGGGATAATTAGTAGCATTCTCACCCAACTCCATGTATTTTCAGACTTCAGCCATTCTATATTGCATGTGAGTTTCAAGTTTAAACCGATCATTTGTTAGATAAGATAATCTTTTAATAATAAGAAGAGCCTGATGTTTTGTTGACTGGAGAAATTTTAATTGAAAGGCTTCATTTGCAACAGCCTTTTCCTTAACTTTCTGAGCTTCAAAGAGCAGTTTTTCTGTCTGTGTTTTGTGTCTGGTTTGAAGTTTTCTCAGAAAAGGATTTCTACAGTTCTTCACAAGAAAGCAAGGGAATGAGCCTTCAGAAGTAACAGATATAGGACTTTTCTTCTGAAGATATTTTCCTTTGCAAGGCTGGAGGAGGGAAAGGAGATGGAAATGAGATGGTAGCAGTCGAATTATGGTTGGAGTTGGTCAGAGTCCCACTGATCCCTCCTCTGGTTTTGGACTTTCTTGAACTTCCACAAATATGCCTTATAAATCAATAAATTAGTGAAGGTGTTTCCTCCTCTTTAAACTCTGTGAGGGAAAACATTCATCATCTCCTTGCTTTTAAAGGCTTGCTCTTGCTGGCTGGGAAGAATAAAATTTCAGCTGTACCCTTGGTGGCTGCAAAGGAATGAGATTTTGGAAGAGTGGAAGAACAAAGGCGGTGCTTGCTGCAGAGCCAGAGGTAACAGAGCAAGGCTTGTTCACTGGGTTTTGCACAAGAGCTGTGGGAGCAAGAGGACAACATTTTCCATGGGTGAAAGGTGTGTTCAGAGACTTTACATAGCTGGCCATGCTGCCCATGGTGCCTCTGTGAGTAGTTGTGAAGCCTAGTTGATCATAAGTGCCTTGTCTTCTTAATTTTCATCTACAAGCTCCACTGAATCTTTATTACCCTGCCTGAATGCTTTTCCGCTTTCTGAAGAAGGGCAGGGCATTACTTTTACAGCCCAAGTGATTTTAAAGAAAGGATTGAACTCAGGTCAACAACAACTCATCCATAAGAAGTGCAAGCTTTAGGGAACTGAAACATAAACCCTATCAGAAATGGCACAACCACATAATTCAGTGCAACCATGTGGACGTGGAAAACTTTAAAATTATCAAATTAATTCAAACTTTCGCTCTTCCTCTGAGAGGAAAGCATGATGTTATATTTCTTTGCTAGAAGCTTTTCTCTTCCTCTTAGTGCTGAAGAAAAGTGAGAGTCTGTTGCATGCTGGAAGAAAGAGATCTCAGTATTCACTGCTGAGTGTGCACAGCCTGTGCATTGCTGTCTGTGAGGAGCAGGGCTTCATTAAGGAATGGTAGAAGGTGACCATATGGTACCAAAGTATTTTCCAATTTTGTTTCTGCACTTTCTTCAAAAGCACTTTTTCTAGATCTCTGCCTCTTACAATTCTCTCTCTCTCTTTTTTTTTCCCTGCTAATTTCTTTTCCCTGTTTTTATTTTTTTTTTTTTTTATTTTATCCCCTCCTTCTACAAGGCCTTCCCTCACTTTTTTCTCCTTCCTTTCTGGTCCCTGCCCAGACTTCAGGTTCTTATGTGTTCTGCCATTCCCTTTCCAATTCCTGGCCCAGAAATCTGTCAGGTGTGCTGGAATGCTGCTGGGACAGAACTGAAACAGTGGTAGAGTAGGGGAAGGAGTTAAAACTGAAGACTGGGAAGCTTTGAAACAGAACACAATAGTTATTGTGCTAATTTTCATCTCCATAGCAACACTAATGCAATGTTTTTCCCTCACTCCTGGAATTCCCCTCCTATGGTCTCCTCCTGGGCTCAGCCTGGAGACCAGCACTGGCACAGGGACTGGGAGGGTGCCTGTGTGCCTTTGAATTGCTGGAAAATGGATGAGATTTGAAGAAATCAGTGTTAACCTCCTGGTGCAACTCTATGGGCTGCCCCTGAGGTATGGGACAGATCTGATCAGGAGGTTTGTCACCAAGGAACAGAAAGGGTCTTGTTCAGATGGTGATGGCAGCTGGTACAGTAGACAGCAATTATTCTGTGGGGAGCTTCTCACTGAGGTTCTGTGAGGCTGAGGTCAATGTTACTTTTATAGGTGACCCCTCAGAGAGATGCTCTTGCCTTTGAATGTATTATCCTTGAAATTTGGGTTTAGGTCATCTGAAGGTCTGAGCAAATCGCATAGCAAAATATTAGACATTTTGCACTATTTTCAAAGCATTAATAGTGTAAGATTGATTAATGCAAACTGAGTATCTTAAAATCTGTAGGTATCTTTACATATCTTAGTTTGGGTAATGTATCTTGTGGAAGCTGAAGGTAGCTGAAAGCTCAGAGCATCATTCAAACTGTAAGCAAACTACAATCTCAATTGCATTTTCTCTTATACCTGATATCTTGGTAACCATGCTTGCATTATAATAAGCTTTGGGTTTTTTTAACCCTCGTGGTACCATCATACTGAGCAAGAAAAATCTGGGAGGGAGGAGACTTTTTGATACTCCACAAATGCAAGTGTCCCAACACTGCTGAACACTGCTGTGCCATTTGGAGAATGCCAGAGGGCAAACTTTGAAGAGGCATAAGAAGTACCAAGAGGGAGAAGAAAATGTTAGAAAGTGCTGTTGTGACAGATGGTGAGATGGTAAGCTGTTCTCAGATGGAAACATGTTGAAGAGTTTTGCTTCTCCATTCTGGACAGCTTCTTGAGAACAGGCTGGGGGCAAAAACATCCAGAAAGCCTCAGAACAGCTTTAATGTGTGAGCTGTAGCTGCTGGTGGAGAAGAGTCAGTGAGCAGCTCTCTCAGCAGCTGTGGTGGTTGAACATGTTCTGCTAGCAGTGCTGGGTGTCCATGAAGATCCATCAGGAGTCCTGGCTGGAATTCATTGTGCTTTGGCTGAGAGACATTAATGCTGTCTACAAAACATGGGAATGCAATGGTGATCTTCCTAATAATCCAGCAGTGTCATTTGGAGCCAAACCAGCACCTACTGGGAGTCTTTTTTGTCAATGGACCTTGACTTCTCTTGCAGTGATGGAGTATCCAGGTGTTCCCTTCTTGGCTCCTGGCACTGTTGGGCGTTACCATCAGCTCTGGCACTGCTCTGGCAGCCTAGACTGAGCACAGAGCTGTTCCTTTTGAGAAGGTCTTTACTAATATTCCTCAGGTTTGGACTAAGATGAGATCTCCAGGAAGGTGTGTAGCTCTGCAGCTGGAATGCTGTGGTGTTTAAAATGGGAATGCCACACAGGCACCTCATGGAAACAGGGAGCTTGCAGGTAAACTGAGGGCTCAGTCAAGGAAAGCTGCAGGAAAGTTAACTCAAAACAGAACTCCTTTCCGTGTCAGCAGACTCTGAAGTTAAAGTGATGTCATTTTCAAGCAAGTGTTCCATTTTGCCAAAAGTTTATACTTACTACTGTTACATACCCTTCTTAGCCTGCAGACATGAGGCATTTCTATTAAAAAGAAATTAAAAAGGGAATAAACCTGGGCATCTTTTACTTCCTCCACTACCTTCTGTCCATCCCTTCTCCCATCTTTAAATCCCATAGCCTTAATACCCAAATTAGAGACCTTCCTCTCCCCACATATTCAGAGCCTAGAGCGTACATGTAGTTTGCAGAGCACTGAGTGGGCTTAATGTACCATCAGGCTGGAATGTGTTAGGAGCTAATTCTGGGATGCATGAGCACAGGAATTGTCATGGGAACACAGCCTATAATCAAGAAGGATAAAAATTCCAGTAGGAGACCAGGCTATGGGAGACTTCCATCAACAACCTTAAAGAAAGAATTATTTTGCAATTATTTCAAAGGAGACACCATGCCGTGAAAACCCTTGACAAAGCAAATTACCTGTAATTAATAAAAGAGGGAACTTTAAAAGAGTAATTTCTTCTAGTTATGTCCAAAGACATAAACCTTCCCTTCTTCTAGACCCAGTAATGAGAGTAAAAAAAGTAATTTGGGGAATCAGTTTCCCTCTGACTGAAACTCAGCTAGTAAACATTGTGCAAAAATATATTTTTCCTTTTTTAAAAAAAAAAAACCTGACAGAAAGGAAGGTTAGAATTAGCCTACCACATAGCCAGATGCTTCCTTTTAATCCAGTTTCCTTGGGAAATAACAGTTACGAGATTGTGCCATTGTCAGTGCCCATAAGCTCCTTTTGAACTCATTGCCCAGTTTCAACTATATTTACAGAGATCAAGAGTCCCTTTGCCTTTGATGAAAACAAGCAGATACAAGGCAAGCCCCTGTTAATGGAAAGGCCACAGCATGTGTTCAACATATTATTAGACATTAGAGGATCTGTCTGAGGGAACAGAAGGACTGAAAACTTTTGTAAGAACAAAAACTACAGCAAGCAAGCTTCAGAAGTGTTGCTGCTCAGATAAGTTTTTGGGAGTTGCTGTACTAAGCTCTGTGATACAAGTACTTGTAATTGTTTTCTAATTCCAACCTGTGCAGGGCCTCCTGATAATTAAAGTGTCAGCGTTTCAGTGATGAAAAGCCACATTGAAAATCAATGTTCAGTTGCCATTGCTGCTTGCAGAGAAGAGGGAAAGGTCTTGTGAAGGTCTGCAGAACCAGCTGTGAAAGCCTTCTGTCAGCTTGGTGGGAGGGGAGAGCTGTAAGACCAAACCACCATTTGCGAATTCTCGTCCTTTAAACTTGTGGCTGGCTATAGAGAAAATCAGAGGCATGCCTCTTGTGTGGAGGCCTCCAGAACTGCATGTCCTGCTTAAAACTTATTTGCAGGTGTTCTGCCTGTTCCCATACCAAGAGAACAGACTGAGTAACCCTGGCTTGAAGCTGCAGGGAAGCTCCTCACAGGAAGATCTGTCGGTTCAAGCAATGCCCCATCCTTACAGAGCTCAAGTACTTTTTACTGTTCAATGTGTTTTTTGTTTCCAGTTCTTTGTTAATCAGGGGAATGTTCCTCACCTTGCTTTATGAGTCAGGACAGTGAGATGCAGGGAGACTAGATGGTGACACCAAGGTCACACATTTTGGCAGAGGATGAAGTTAAACCCAAACCCTCTGAGCTGTGGGCTGGCAGTGACTCTGAGAGCTGTGGGAAGGGGCATCCTTGGGCTCTCTGCTCACTCTCTTCTATGTGCTCTCTGCCCTTTTCTCTTCTCAAATCAGCTCTCTGATTCCTGCTTACAATTTCTGACTCTGCTTTGGCCTGTCAGGTTTCCCAGAACTGACCATTATGCCATCACTTTTGATTGAGTATAACCCAGTGTAAGACTGGGTATTACAAACCTGCTTACAAAAATGGCTTGGTGCCTTCCCTTACAGCATTCATAAACCATGCCCAAAAATACTCCAAAGTAGTTGCTAATAGCCTAGATTGATTCTGACTGCATAAAAGACAAGTAATTTCAAATTATGAAAATTAACTACTTACATAATTTGATTTATTCTGTTACAGTCTCTGTGAGGATTTAATCATGGTGCCTTATCCCCAGCTCTGCTGCTGCTGAACTGACAATATATCACAAGTGTGATTCAGAAAGGTCTAGCAAGAATGCTGGGGTGGTATGAGGGAAAAACAGGTAGATGATATAGCAGAAGCTTCAGTCTCTGGCTTGCAATTATTCCAGCTTTTTCTCATCATCTGTGTTTATCCTATTGCATTTTGATTTAGAAGCTTCTTTAGGATCATGTTTAATATGTATATTAATATGTATATTTGCAATCTGGTTACAATTTTTATTGGAATTCCTGGCTCAGACTTGCTGGACTTTTGCAATCCATGAATGATTCCTCTGCCTTGGAAATG